GTTGAACATTAATAGTCGTAAATCCAAAAATTGGGTTGGCTGTTCAACGACGTTAATAAAATAAAATAAAATAGTTTAATCTAGAGCCGTGGTGGCTCAGGGGATAGAACTTTCGCCATCCAATCAGGTTCGAATCCCATCGATGGCTGGTCGATATGATGGCAGGCCGCACCAACCACAGTTGATGTCGTAAATTATCCTCAATGGTTGACGGATCATGGGTTAGAGTTCCCTTGCCATCAGTCTAACGGTAGGAGACTTTCGTGGATTTTTGTCGCCATGTACCGCAAATGCGGGTTAGTTCCTTTAAAAAGTCCTCCACGAAGGCGAATTTCTCCCAGGAGTTCCCTTGTCTTCTGGTTTTGAGTTTAAAACTACAAGGCTATGGAGTTGAACTTTGGTGATCATGAACTCAAAATTGGGTATGCCGTTCAACGACGGTTATGAAATAAAATAGTTTAATAATCGAAAATAAATTTTTGGATATTCCGCCATATATCTGGAATTTTTCAAGCGAATCAGAAATAATTTTACACAAAAGGTAATTTCACAGAAATTGTATAATTATTTAATTGAGTGATAATCGATCTAAAATAATTTTTTTTTTTTGCATTATGCTTAGTTAACAAGTGTGAATAATAGAATTATTTTTACTTCCAATTAACTATGAAGAAAAAAACATAATGATAAACAAAAGTAATCGAGTTCATTCTAGGATCAAAACTGCATTTACAACTGTTTTCGGTATTCTGCAATTTTTGCGAAAGAGTTAAATATTATGTATTATAAATAATTGTTCTTTCAGCTGCTGAAAAAAATCCAAATGTAGAGATTTTTTTCAAGAAAAAATTTTTGGACTGCAGTTTTAAAGAGGGGAGTTACAAAGTGCTAGCGTAAGTGTTATTTCATTCAGTCGATACATTGAATTTAACTTTCTAAACAAATATTTATTTATTCATTTATTTTTTTGCATTCAATGAAAGTGATAACAATAAGGATTAAGATTTTTGCAGAAAAAAAATATTAAGAGTGTAACTGTTATTAAAAGTTTTATTATCACCCGTCGAATTACTTGCATTTTTGCTTCCAAAATTACTCACTGTTAATTTCTTCTTAAACGTAAATATAATTTGCCTATGTGAAGAATTCCTCTTGGCTTTAATTATACCAGGTACGAACTTATATGCCAGCAGACTTCGCAGCGAGGGGAGTTCATTCTATAGACAAACTATACTTCACTTTTATTTATACCAGGCACGAACTTATGCTTTTGGTAGGAGGGAAATTCTCATTATTGCCGAATGAAATTTCGAATTTCAACAAATCATTAATAAGTGTGTAATTCATTAGCTTCAATAAAAAATTAAAATTTCAACTTAGAACTTGTGTATTATGTTTTATTTTAGTTCCTTGCATTTATTAATGAAATTAAAAAATATGTAATTTTTTGCATTTTTGCTAAATGAAAATATGGTTTCAGTTGTTAAAAATTTAAAAAAAAGAATAAGAAATTAATTATAAATAAAAAGTTCGCTGAACTAGCTTAAAAATTTTTTTTTATTAAATTAAAAAAGTGAGCAATAATAAAGTAGATACGAATATAGTAGACGTGACTTTCTGCCTAAGTTTTCCTTTAATATATAATAATTAATGAATGAACTTAATAATCTAGATGAACAAACCCACGATAAAAAATCGAATTTTTCTTCTTCACCCCCAACCCCCGTTTTGGTGAGGAGGAGAGGAAGTTACAAACCAGTTTCAAGAACTTCTATGCCCCTTAATGTTGTTTTTTCCTTTATACAAAGGGACATCACTTAACCTTGGGGGACAGGCTTACATTATGTCAATATAAGCTAGACTTCTTCCCCCATTTATAGTTTGTCTAAAGTAAGAACTCCCCTAGCCATTTGTCTGGATCTGTGGCGGTGACTATGGTAACGAGATATGACTATTTCAAGTACGGGTGTGGGTTCACTGTTTAGGAAATTGGATCGGCGAGAGAAAGGTATAGTACGGCTTTCATGAGAACTCCTCGAGACACCTGTCTCGCGTCGTGGCGGGTACTATGGTTACGAGGAAAAGTCACTTCGAATAAGGGTGTGGGGTGAATAGTTTTGTCTTAATCTTAGCGTAGGCCGTCGTAAGTAAACCAATCGATACCTTCTTTCCTCCATTTCAGCCCCATTAGAATAGCAGCAGACAGCCCCAGACTTTCAGTCTGGAGGAGTTCTCCTCAAAGCTGCACTATAATCTTTTTCTCAGATCTATTGTGTTACCCTAGAGAGAAGAGAAGCTTCCCTCCCTGAAATGCGCTATTCTTGTTTCCATAGCAGCACAAGGCCTCAGACTAAGTGGCGAGGGGAGTTATGACCGTAAACAAACTATATATTCTTTGTCTTTGCACAGGTCATCGGATCTCAGGGATGTGCAGCTCAAGCGCAAATAACAATTCTATTTTATAAAATGTTGTGAATTTTGAATTAGAATGAAACATCAATCAAGGGGTTAAATGGAAAAATTGTAGTTCAGCCTGAAAAAGCGATTCCAATTATTTTTATAGCCCTGATGGAGGTGTGCAAGAAGACAAAACTGATTTGCTGATAGGATGCGACGGAGCGTACTCATCTGTCCGACGACAAATGTTGAAAATGCCACGCTTCAACTACAGTCAACATTACATCGAGCATGGGTATTTGGAACTCTGCATACCTGCGACAGAATCAGGCGAAGTAAGAACGTCTATATAACCACACTCATAAGAATATTTAAGAAATATAAGGAATTTTATAAAACTTCCCTTCTCTCAACAATAGAGAAACTCAATAACCCCTGAGATAAACTTTGGATTCATAAACGTAGGATATCTAACAAAGACAACTTCCTTTGGAAAAATTTATGCAGTATACTGTCGATATCTCGAAAACCTTGTCATGTCAAAAAAATATTTTTCCCCATGGCACCCCACGGTTTTCTACACTAGGGAAAGCTGCAAACTCCGTACCACCTATACTTCAGGGTTACTGTTTCCGTTGTATTTTAAAGCCATTTGGCTCACAGTGTGATCATTGCGTTTTGAGATGCTTGAAAGCGTGGTATTTGATTACTTATTACTTGTGTTTACAATGCTAAAGGTGCTAACACTAACGTAAGATGGTGCATATCTTGCAACAAGAACAAACATTGATAAATAAATGAAGAGAGGCCAAATCAGGATTGCCAAAAAAGCGAGTTATTCAAAATCTAGCAACCATGTCACCTTTTTTTAACAATATATCTATAAGTGATTAAAACAAATGTTCGCTTTAAACTCACCAGAATTACTTAATAACATTAATATCTTATGAAATACGACAGATTGCAGCTCAGAAATTATCTAATTTATTTCTTTTATTTAAAACAAAATTATCCGTTTGAAAATATCGCCTCGCAGATTAAGCTGTAGTAAGCAGTAGCAAACTTTCTAACCGGAACTAGAACGGGTATTGAGCTCAAGATTGTTATTGTTTACATTTATATTGAAAACACCATCCATATAGGGTAAACCAACCAGTGAAGGAACACTACCCAGTGAAGGAACATTTCATATATATTGATTAAAAATAAGAATTTGAAAGTTTTTCTTTAGATTGATTGGTAACAATAGCTTACTGCCAAACAATAGGAAGTCATCTAGCAATATTTTGGATTATCTGGTCAAATAGATTTCTCTGAAAAAATTTTGAATTTGTTATTATCTCTGCAACACCTTGTTTCGTTGAAAAAATTATAAGGTGAGTGTTTGTACTTATATGTTTGAAATGGAATTAATTGCATGTAGTAGTCTTATTTTTCTCACTGTGTAAAAGAAAATTCAAAATATAGTTATTGAAGTTACGTTTTATTTTTTTTAAAGCACCATACTGTTTG